TCAAGGTCCCTCTGGATGGCATTCCTTCCCTCCAGTATATCAACCGAACCACACAGCTTGGTGTCATTGGCAAACTTGCTGAGGGTGCACTCAACCCCACTGTCCATGTCATCGACGAAGATGTAGAACAAGACTGGTCCCAACACCGATCCCTGAGGGACACCACTCGTAACTGGTCTCCAGCTGGACAATGAGCTGTTGACCACAACTCTTTGTGTGCGGCCATCCAGCCAGTTCTTTATCCACTGAGTGGTCCATTCATCAAATTGATGTCTCTCCAATTTAGAGACAAGGATGTCATGTGGGACAGTGTTGAACGCTTTGCACCAGTCTAGGTAGATGACATCAGCTGCTCTGCCCCTGTCCCTCAGTTCCATAGCCCCATCATAAAAGGCCACCAAATTGGTCAGGCAGGATTTCCCCTTAGTGAAGCCATGCTGGCTGTCACCAAGCACCTTGCTGTTTTTCATGTGCCTTAGCAATCCTTCCAGGAGAATCTCCCCCAAGATTTCGCCAGGCGCAGAGGTGAGACCGACTGGTCTGTAATTCCCTGGGTCATCCATCTTCCCCTTCTTGAAAATGGGGGTTATATTTCCCTTTTTCCAGTCATCAGGAACTTCACCTGACTGCCATGATTTTTCAAATATGATGGCCAGTGGCTTAGCAACTTCATTTGTCAGGTCCTTCAGGACCCATGGATGGATTTCATCAGGTCCCATGGACTTGTGTGCATCGAGGTTTTTAAGATGGTCTTGTACCAGATCCTCTCCTACAGTGGGCTGAAGGTCTTCATTTTCACAGTCCCTGCATCTGTCTTCCAAGACTTGAGCGGTGTGGTCAGAGCATTTGCCAGTGAAGACTGAGGCAAAGAAGTCATTAAGAACCTCAGCCTTCTCCAAATCCAGGGTAGCCAGTTCTTATAGCTTCCAGAGACGGCCCACGTTGTCGCTAGTCTGTCTTTTATTTGCAATGTACCTATAGAATCCCTTCCTGTTATCTTTCACATCCCTAGCCAAGTTTAATTCTAACTGGGCCTTAGCTTTCCTAACGTAGTCCTCAACTTCTGGACAATGTCTCTGTATTCTTCCCAGGCCGCCTGTTCTTGCTTCCACCTTTTATATGCCTCTTTTTTCCCTGTAAGTTTCCTCAGCAACCCATTATCCGTCCAAGGAGGTCTCCTGTCCTTCCTGCTGCACTTCCTTCTGGAATTATAATGAATATGTTCATCATGAAGATTTTTAAGCTGTAAACTGTCTCTTTTCAGTGTGTGTGTTAAGTAGAGCAATCCCCCCTGCACCCAGTACCACAATAAAGTAATATCTTTCTAACCTGTCATTCTGGTTAGACAGTTTATTTCTTGGATTTTAGTGACAGACTTATGTTTGCTGTCATCAAGTTTATGAGTGATATGATCACTGCTGCTTATTAGGACATCATACCTCTGGTAACATTAGATAATAAGTTTAGCAACGTTTTCGTTGATAAGATCTTGCTAGTGAAAAAAATGAACATACAGTCTACGTAGATGCACACACCTCCAAATAAGAGAAAGCTTCAAGGCTAGGTATCACTGGCTGACTCACATTCACACAGCTTAGGTGAATAGATCCGATTTATAGCAGACCTGCCTTGGAGATAACTAGGGAGTGACTTAAGAATTGAGGAGTGTGCAAACCAGGTGCTGGAGTCCCCTCTGGGTTTGTCCCCAGTGTAGCAGGGGAGGTCAAGGCACTTGTGAGGCTGGCCGGGGGAGAAAAAATGAAAGAAGTAAAGCAGAAACAAGCAGAGTTAAGGATAGGGGGTTTCACCCTAATAAATTCTATATTACCTCCTGTATTAATAAAATGCGAGGAATGCCACTTACAAAGAATGTATGTTTCTTCTGGTCGATCTTACAAACAACATTCCCAACCAGTTAGATGTGTGTTCCTTTTGAAACCTTCAATACTGAGGTCTGTTCAGAGCAGAGGAAGTTATACCACAATTGTCTGCAAAAGACTGGTTTGGGAGATGGTGGACGAAGAAAAGCTTCTACCGATGTGCTGCTGGAGCCATTTGCTTGGCCACTGGTCAGAAAGTATGGATCAGTCAGTTAAATGGCTTAGGTTTCACCACAGCTCCTATATCTTTTATCCTGCCTGCAGGAAATAGAAAAACCAGGGAATCTGGCTATGTGTTCATATATTCAGCTGTGGTGATGGAGAGAACATAGGCACAACCCAACATTGATCCTTTCTTGTGCAATTTGTTTTAAGTCAGCTGTGAAACACAAACCCTGTGGGAAACAAATCACCCTAGCGCTGTGGTCAAAGAACATGGTCATTTCTTATGAGGAAAGTGAATACTTGCAGGCCTTGCTATTCCCATTGCAAGCCCAGTGACATGTGCAGAGCCTGGAGGCAATGGTGCCAGCAAATACTCCTCTAAGCAGGCAGATGACTCCTTTCTCAGCACTCCAAACAAGCATTTCCATGAGAAAGTGTAAAGAGTGCTTGCAGTATGGGGTTGCTGTCATGTATAGGAAATGTGAAGGATATTTTGAAAGCAAAGGAGTCATCAGGGGGAGTAGACAGAGGGCGATGACAAGAAGAATGAAGCAAATACTATAAAGGAAAGGTGGACAGTTACCACAGAATAGGAAAACAATTGCCTAAAAAGGAACATAGGATAAGGAAAGGAAGGCAAAAAGGTTAAGAGTAATTAACAGATGGCACAAAATTGAGAAAAGCATGCTTATATGAAAAGGGGCAGACTAGAATAACAAGTCTTAAGGTTATTATGTGCATTACTGGGGAGATCACTGAGATCATGGGAAAGTGGAAATAACTGTTGAGACCAGTATCTCACACAGCATTTCATGACCAGTCCTCCATACTGTTTGCACTTAAGATTCTTCTGTATCACTTCCCAGCAGCTGTGGCCACATCCTTACAGTAGCACGATGATAGATGCTGCAAGAGATAAGCTGATAAGAATCAGGTGACAGTGAAAAGTCTGCGACTGTTGCAATCCCAGCATGGTGTCCTGTCTTGGCTTGATTCATGGAGACCGTGACAGACAGGTCACATCAAGCTAATTTCCATGAAATGTGAGGTGACTCCTAGAAATATTCAAGACTCCAGGTTGCTTGGAAGGTCTGGCTGGGTTTTTAATTTCACTGTAAGTGAAGTCAGTCTGAAATCAACACCCTGAAATGACCACGAAAATTAATACAGAAGGATAGGCAAGCAATGGAACCAGGGTACACTGTGCTCCGGTTTCTACCAAAACCTCATACTTCCGTAGTCAGATATACCAGACCTTCAAATCCACACAGCCCAGTAAACCCAGCCACCCCTTTCCTCCTCCTGGCCAAAGGCAGAAACCCTCTATTCCTGGTTCTGCACACAATACTCCAAGTGAGGTCTCACGAGAACAGAGTAGAGGGGCAGCATCACCTCCTTCGACCTGCTGGTCACACTCCTTTTGATGCAGCCCAGGATACGGTTGGCTTTCTGGGATGCGAGCGCACACTGAAGCTGGCTCATGTTCATTTTCTCATCGACCAGCACCCCCAAGTCCTTCTCCGCAGGGCTGCTCTGAATCTCTTCTCTGCCCAGCCTGTAGCTGTGCCTGGGATTGCTCTGACCCAGGTGTAGGACCTTGCAGTTGTCATGGTTAAACTTCATGAGGTTGACATCAGCCCACCTCACAAGCATGTCAAGGTCCCTCTGGATGGCATTCCTTCCCTCCAGCGTATCAACCGAACCACGCAGCTTGGTGTCATCGGCAAACTTGTTGAGGGCGCACTCAATCCCACTGTCCATGTCAGCGACGAAGATGTTGAACAAGACCGGTCCCAAAACCAACCCCTGAGGGAGACCCGTCGTTGCTGGTCTTCACCTGGACATTGAAGGGTCCCTAATGAAGAGTCCCTCCCCAGCATCCTTATAGCCCCCCTTCAGATACTGGAAGGCTGCTATGAAGTCTCCACGCAGCTTTTCTGCAGAGGCTGAACAGCCCCAGCTTTCTCAGCCTATACGGGAGGAGCTCCCGTCCCCTGGTCATCTTTGTGGTCCTCCTCTGGACTTGTTCCGACAGTTCCATGCCCTTTTTATGTTGAATTGTGCAGAACACTCTGTACACAATACTCCAAGTGAGTATTGTACAGAACTGTACACTATATTGTACGGAATTACTCCACAATATTGTACAATATTGTACAATACTCCACAATATTGTACAGAACTACAATACTCCACAATACAAACACTTGGAGTATTGTGTGCAGTTCCAAGTGAGGTCTCACGAGAGCAGAGTAGAGGGACAGGATCACCTCCTTTGACCTGCTGGTCATGCTCCTTTTGATGCAGCCCAGAATACAGTTGGTTTTCTGGGCTGCCAGCACACACTGAAGCTGGCTTATGTTCATTTTCTCATCGACCAGCACCCCCAAGTCCTTCTCCGTGTGGCTGCTCTGAATCTCTTCTCTGCCCAACCTGTAGCTGTGCCTGGGATTGCTCCGACCCAGGTGTAGGACCTTGCACTTGGCATGGTTAAAGTTCATGTGGTTGGCATCAGCCCACCTCACAAGCATGTCAATTACATGTGTCAAATCATGGTCTCTGCACCAAATACAGTGAGTGTATGTATCATAACGAGAACCTGTGGCCTCTGCCTCAAGCTGCTGTGTTGTTATTGACAATAGTGAGCCTATTCAGTTTTTTCAAAGAGGTGCCTGTTGGACATCCTGAAGCACTCTCTGCTTGACCTTTCTAAAGAGCATTTTGACTCTTATCATGAAAAAAAAAAAAAAAAAAGCTTTGCAGAAACCAAAGTACACTTTGGCATCTTTTTTTTTTTTTTTTGGGGGGGGAGGGTAGAAAGTTTGGGGTTTTAGATGATTTTTTGGGGATTTTTTATTTGCTTTGGTTTGGTATGGTTTTCCTTTTTTGTTTTGTTTTATTTTGTTTTTATTTTGTTTTCCTGAAGGCTTCAGTGTCCCTTTCCAAAGAAGAAAAATGTTTGATACACTTGGACTCATTTGCATGATGTGGTGTTATATGATGCTATTTCATCCCTTGCATGCTGACATCCAGTATGTAGAGCGTAAGTATGTTTTTGCAGATATAATCTGAGAAACGGGGTTGAATTCTTCATTTATCAGAGATATTTGCAAATAATCTGGCAATTGTCATCTTAAGCCTGATAGATACTATCCTCTGCATTCAACAAAAATGACTGAACTTACTCTGTAACACTTCAGCAGAGGCACAAGAGTCACCTATTGCAAATGTGAAAATGAATTGGAGAAAAATGGAACTGACCTGGGACAGCATCAAAAATTTCTCTAAGTACAAATGTACTATCATGGACAGGGACATTGAAAGGATACAGACAGAGGTAAACTTGTTATTCATTGAGATAAATAATTGCACTTTTTTCTTTACCTTTTACTGATTTCACTTACTTTGGAAAAAATGATCGGTTGCAGATAAAATCCAATCGGTGATTGTTTGTAGTCCACATCTTGATCTGTCAGGGGCTGTGGAAAGCTGCCACCAGTGCCAGGGTGCATTTGCTGCAGGAGGACATCCTGTGCATTATACAGAACTGATGTTCTTTCAACAAAGTAGAAAGGAAGCAATGGCCTGAACTGTACCTACATTCCATTATGAATGATGTAGCTGCTGAAAAAAGAGGCTATAAGACTAAGTGAGACTCAGACAGAGACCCTTCATATAAAAAATTCCCCAAATACTGCCATGGATTTTCATTATCTCCAGTTCTTCACTTGTTTCCAGGTAAACTGGATCATGCCTGTAGCACTGGTTATAAAGTAATCCCACATCATATAAAGAGAAAAGTAGGAAGCTTGACAGACAGAGAGATAGAGATGGCTTATTTAGCATAGCAAAGCAGATGCCTTATTTAGAAACACATATTACAAAACCACACTACAACTTTATTGAAGGTTATAAGTACAATGCCATAGACAACTTTCCGACCCCTCGGGAGGTTGACAAGTACTTCTATTTTACTTAATCCTTTGATTAAGTTCCATTGTGGTTCCCCTATTTATTAACCATCTTCTGTTAATGCTACTGGGATACTATTAGGCTTCTCTAATAGTTGCACATTAGTGTAGCATCCAACTCCTGAGCGGCAAAGCTTTTTGAGTAGCTGTGCTTTTGGTCACTCAGCACCATTATACATCACCTTCAAGTGGTAAAGGAGAGAGTTAGCTCTTGAGCCTAAACTACACACATATACACATGAGATTCCAGGCCTTCAAATTGAGTTTCTGTATTTCCAGAGCAAGCATCATCTAACACCAGCAGAGGAAAAACAGAGAAATAAAACATCAAAATGTTATTTTCCAGGTGGATAGCCCACTATGCAGGTTTCCAGTGGAACTATACCTGCCTCTGCACAAAGGGATATTCCTTACTATTGAAGTGCCAAACACAAACATCTCAAAAACCTTCACCTTTATCCCAGGAGGTAATGTTTATGGTATGGGTAAGGCTTTCTCCATTTGCAATCTTTTAAGGAAAACAGTTCTTTACAGAGTAGGTAACTGCTTTATTTTCTATTAAAAAATATTTTTTGCATATCTGCTAAAACTACTTGCTCTGTTATGTTTCCAAAATTCTGCAAGAGATGCACTACCACAAATGTTTCGATAATTGCATTATTCTCTTTCATACTAGGGCTCAAAAATACCACTAAATTACAGTGGTTTAAGGGTGGATTCAAATGGCTGTTCTATCTGTTACAAATTAAGATGTTAGTGCTCCTTTCTTTGTTAAATGCCACAGCACGTCATGCCCAGGATGTAACTGGGAGTTACCCGGAAGGACAGGGGGTCTGCCGGGTCAGACTGATTGTTCGGCGGGTGGTATTGTACTCTTTTCCCTTGCTATTATCTCTTATTGTTGTTAGTGGTGGTAGCGGTGGTGATTTGTGTTATCCCTTAGTTACTAAACTGTTCTTAATCTCAACCCGTGGGAGTTGCATTCTTTCTGGTTCTTCTCTCCATCCTTCCAGGAGTAGGGAGAGGGCAAGAAGTGGGGGGGGGAACGAGTGCACAATCTGTCTGGCTGGGGTTAAACCACGACAATTCCTTAATTTGTTTCCTGTTTTTGCAGCCTTATGACAATGTTTCTGGGAAAAGAAGTTTCCTACAACTAACTCAGCAATTTTTTAGCTCCAGCTTGGAGCAGTCACGTGATTTTTACTCATCATGGATATTCCTGTTTCTGCAGGCATAAATGGATCAGCCATTGAAAACTTCTCCTGTGTGATTTATAACATTTCCTTCATGAACTGCACTTGGCAGGCAGGCAAAGATGCACCAGGAGATACCCAGTATTTTCTCTATTGGCAGAACTCCCGGTAAGTAGGTCTGCTTGAGCCTAGGGAAGTCCAAATTCTCATTCAACACATCACATTGCCCATGTTTATCTAAAATACCTTGCTGTATATAGATATGATGATGCGATGGAATGTGAGCTTTACATTAAGGATGAAAATGGCAGAAATACAGGATGTAGATTCCAAAATGTGAGGATAGAGACTGAAAAAGCTTACTTCCTGGTGAATGGCTCTAGCAAAGACTCCCTGATCCAGCTCTATGATGAGTACATCGAACTGTATAAAATAGGTAAGAAAATAGTTTATTTTTATTTTATTACTGTTTTATAAAATAAGGAAATGGGGAATTTTTCTCTGAAGAGAAAAGAATAAGCCAAAGTCTGTATGCATCGTAGGATCTGGCACTGCAGGACAGCCTTCATCCTGATAGCTGACAGAATATAGTTCCAAATATTCCCAAATGAGCAGAAGGTAGAAGCAGCCTGAAGTAACTGCTCAAGTGGTGTGAACATTTCCATGATGAAATGCAATGGTTAGACTTTCAAGGCCACCCTTCTAATGGCCTCATTTTTCCATCCCTTAGTTCTATGTGTCTCTGAGAGCTGCAAGAGCTACATGTCCTATAACTGGGGGGGGAGGGGGGGGAGGATAGACTTGCAAATTAATTCTGCATTAGTTAAATATGTGGGTACCTATGTGTGGAGATAGGTGACAGGGCTCTAATGGAGATCTGGAACAGGATTCAGCTGCCTAAAAACATGCCTTTAGTGTCATTTGAGACATCCTCAGACACTTGAAGCATTCACAAGGTTTACAGATGTGGTCCAGGACCTGTGAGAAATCAGGGTCCTCCTGGGTGTCCTGTGTGCTGTATGCACAGCACAAGACTGACTCCTGCTTGCAGCTGGTGAAGGCTGTAAAGCCCAGAGCTATTCAGACAAGCAGACCTGCTCCACGGTGTTTTGCAGATATCACAGGCAATAGTGATGAGATCTCACCTGTATTGTAGGTACCCAAATTCAGATGACTTGGTCTTCTACATGAACAATACCACATGCACCAAAACTTCTATCTTTTTTCCTATGAGGACTTGCTAATGTGAAATTTAGATGCAGAAGAAAATGGAACTCTGCTGATTATGCTACTTAATTTCACAAAATCCTTCGTACTTTCTTTTACGTGAAAGTCAGTTACTTCAGGTGTCCAATAACTGAAGTTTTGCTACTGTATTTTACTCTCGTTTACCAGATAACATTTGTTAACATCAGTAGCATACAGCTGTACATCAGTTGCCTCAACTTCAGATGTATTTTGCTATGAATGGATAAGTTGTAGCTGATTACTGTCTATGTCTACATTAATAATTTAATTTCTTTCCAGAAATACTCACTCCTCCATTAAATGTCACTGTCAATTGTACTGGAGATTCAGCAGGTTGCATAATTACATGGCAAGCACCCCTTACAAGTCATGTGGAAAACATAAAGTGTTTTCAGTATGAAATTAGCATACAAAATAAGGTAAAAACAATTAATTGGTTTGCATTGAGACCATACCTGCATGCATGCATATCTATAATGTGCAAATTTCTGTTTCCTTTATTTATTAACTTTTTTCTCATAAGCTGTGTCCTCCTGATCTGGCCCTGCTGGTTTCATATCGCAGCAGTCACGACCTTTCAAACTAACCAGAGATACAACGCAGAAAGGATGTTGTCTGTTTTGTTCACTCATTTTTGAACCTATCCTTTTTTCTTTTTTTTTTTTTTTTCAGAATTTTCAGGTCCTTTGATCCAGGTTAATGTTTGCTTCTTCTTAATTAAACTTTGATTGTATGGGATGTGCAAGAGGCTTTTCACAATACTTTGGGGGAAGCCCCTGTGTACAGATCACTCAGATGTCTAATAGAGACTTTGACTGGAAGGAGGGTAAATTTATTGTTCACACCAATTGTCTTCACCATGTTATCAAACTGTTATGAAATCACAGCTTCCGCATCTGCTGTATTTGGAGGATGATTTGATTGCTTGTGTAAATTGGATATACTTCTGCTGTGTGAGGATGCACAGTGTTAATATGCCCATAAACCCATGGGCAGATAAGTAAATAATCCATATTTCCTTCCTATTCTAAAATGGAATGGAGGAAGCCAAAACTCTGTATCACAGTATCACAGTATCACAGTATGTTATAGATTGGAAGGGACCTCAAAAGATCATCTAGTCCAATCCCCCTGCCAGAGCAGGAACACCTAGATAAGGTTACACAGGAACGTGTCCAGGCGGGTTTTTAATGTCTCCAGAGAAAGAGAATCCACAACCTCTCTGGGCAGCCTGTTCCAGTGTTCTGTCACCCTCACTGAGAAGAAGTTTCTTCTCAAGTTTAAATGGAGTCCTTCTTAAACTGAGGGACCCAGAACTGGACACAGTATTCCAGATGAGGTCTCACCAGAGCAGAGGAGAGGGGAAGGAGGACCTCTCTCGACCTACTAACCACCCCCCTTCTAATACACCCCAGGATGCCATTGGCCCTCTTGGCCACAAGGGCACAGTGTCGGCTCATGGTCACTCTGTCGTCCACCAGGACCCCCAGGTCCCTCTCCCCTACACTGCTCTCTAACAGGTCGTTTCCCAGCCTATACTGGAACCTGGGGTTGTTCCTGCCCAGATGCAGGACTCTACACTTTCCCTTGTTATATTTCATCAAGTTATTCCCCGCCCAGCTCTCCAGCCTGTCCAGGTCCCTCTGGATGGCAGCACAGCCTTCTGGCGTGTCGGCCACCCCTCCCAGCTTAGTGTCATCAGCAAACTTGCTGATAGTACACTCAATTCCCTCATCTAAATCGTTGATGAATATATTAAATAATACTGGTCCTAGTACCGACCCTTGAGGCACTCCACCAGATACAGGCCTCCAACTAGACTCCGCCCCATAGACTACAACTCTCTGGCTTCTCTCCTTCAGCCAGTTCACAGTCCACCTCACTACCCGATCATCCAGACCACACTTCCTCAATTTAGCCGCAAGGATGCTGTGGGAGACTGTGTCAAACGCTTTGCTGAAGTCAAGGTAGACCACATCCACCGCTCTACCATCATCCATCCACCGTGTTATTTCCTCATAAAAGGCTACGAGATTGGTCAAGCATGACTTCCCCTTGGTGAAGCCATGTTGACTGCCCCTCATAACCCTCTTATCCTTGATATGCCTTAAGATGGCACCAAGGATAAGGTGTTCCATCACTTTCCCAGGAATGGAGGTGAGGCTGACTGGTCTATAGTTACCCGGGTCCTCCTTCTTGCCCTTTTTGAAGACGGGAGTGACATTTGCTTTCCTCCAGTGCTCAGGCACCTCTCCCGTTTCCCAAGACTTGGTAAAGATAAGCGCAATAATAAAGCGCAACATTCTAGAACATTACTGGAGCAGAATATTCAATTACTTTTTTGTCAGTTTAAAATTACTTGTGATCTTTATAAGCAAGAAAATGAGAACAAAAGAAAATAATAAAAATGAAGATTTGTCTTTTGTTTGCAGGATGAACCCAAAGAAGAGAAAAAGGATCCTCCTGTAAGAGTAAGTATTCTTTTTATATACAAATTTGTGCTTCTGCCCACTTAAGCATTTAAATACCATTACATAAAATATACTTAATTCTAGAACTATAGTTTTTATATCAATATAGCAATGAGAATCCAGGAAAATATATCCCTGTGGTATCTTCATGTGTAAACTTAATAAATCCCTTTTGGAGATGCAGAATTTTCAATGAATTTCACAAAATTTCACACTTTTCATTTATCTCACAAATAGCTTTTGCTTATGACAGATGTGATATTTTGCTTAACAAAAACTGGAAGCATTCTTTCTTTGTTGGTGAAAAAATACCACTGGAGTTCCAAACAGCTAGATAGAGAGAACACAGAGATGTTCACAGTCTTCCAGAACAAATGAGTGGTCCTTTCAGCCCCGGAAGCATCTTAAGCTTGGCAGATTCCATCCCTTGTAGAAATAATCATGAGGCCAGATGGTACATATCTGCTCTTGGATTGTCTCAAAAACATTAAGTCTGTTTAGCAAAGACAGGCACCATGCAAGGACCATTTGCATGATTAATCCCTGTAAAGGATGCAAGGCGCATTTACAGGGTACTTCTCCAGTTTCAACTTTCTGTTATGGGATTTTTAGGATACATAAAAAGGAACAGGGGAAAAAATGGTGTGCTTAAAGCATAATAAAATAAAGACCGAATAAACTTCAAAATCCAGCTTGAAACTTCAAAGAAACAGAAAGACTTGATGGCAGTTGAACTAATTTATCACAGTTTTACATTTAGGGAGAAGAATGTTTAACTAGTACAGACCTACAGTCATACAAATTAGGGGTTTTTGTAGAAATTGCATCACGAATTTAAAACCAAATGTTACAAATATTTGTTTACGGGGTGAAATGAACAGTCTGACTGTTTTGATTTTAGGTAAGGAACAACAGATATGAATTCCAAAATTACAATGAAGAAAAAAAGTACATTCTGAAAATCAGAGCACGTGGAAAAAATTGTCTCGTAAGCTCAAACTGGGGGGAATGGAATGAACCCATTGAGTTTGGTAAGACTCAAATATTTTAATTTTTTTTTTCAGTGTTACCATGTTGCCTCCTTTTCTCCCACTTAAAAACATGAATAAAATCTTAAATCTTATCCAATCATGTGGAAGAAACTGGGTGGAAATTATTAATGTGTAGGAGAACCTCCATTACAATGGCAAGGGAGGCTGATAGCAGTCTTTGATTAGTTGGGATTGCGAAGGCAGCAGTTACTCATATGCCAGGGCTACAGGAAAAGGCTGAGACACTCATGTCTTGTATTTGGTCCCAAGTTCTGAGGCTGCCTTTTAGGTCTAAGCTTTTATCATGAATATCATCCCTTTTCTACTGCACCTTCCTTTTCACCCTTTCCTCAACAGCCTTTTTATACCACTTTTGTTCTGTAATTCATTCTGTGACAGTTTCTTCTATTCTGGTTTTTGTTTTGGTTTTTTTTTTTTTTTGTTTTTTTTCCTCTACATTTTAAATATTTGAAATGGTTTGAAATGCATCAAGCATACCTGTAAGAAGTCAAGCTGAAATCCTTCAGGTTGTTAAAAAAAAGAATTATGTGACATTTTCATCCATTACTGACAGTGACAAAGGTAGCTTTTCCACATATTCTCTGTCTTGGATGTTTCAGGTCACGGGAAAGATCACTTTCCTTTTGTGATTTTATTTCTGATAGCACTTGGAACAATCTCAGTGACACTGCTCCAATATTGTCTTTTCAAAAGGTAAATCAACCTTATTGGTTTCCTATTGATAGGGTATTGTTTTTATGAAACACATTCCTTCTACCTCCTACTTTCCTACCTACAAATTTAAATGATCTGATTTGACCCAGAGAATTACAGACCAGTCAGTCTCACCTCTGTGCCTGGCAAAATCTTGGGGCAGATTCTCCTGGAAGGCATGCTAAGGCACATGAAAATCAACAAGGTGCTTGGTGACAGCCAGCATGGCTTCACTAAGGGGAAATCCTGCCTGACCAATTTGGTGGCCTTCTATGATGGGGCTACAGAACTGATGGATAGGGGCAGAGCAGCTGACGTCACCTACCTGGAATTGTACAAAATGTTCGACACTGTCCCACATGACATCCTTCTCTCCAAATTGGAGAGACATCAACTCGATAGATGGACCACTCGGTGGATAAAGAACTGCCTGGATGGCTGCACACAAAGAGTTGCGGTCAATGGCTCAATGTCTGGCTGGAGACCAGAAACGAGTGGTGTCCGTCAGGGATCGGTGTTGGGACTGGTCTTGTTCAACATCCTTGTCGGTGACATGGACAGTGGGATTGAGTGCGCCCTCAGCAAGTTTGCCAATGACACCAAGCTGTGTGGTTCGGTTGATACGCTGGAGGGAAGGAATGCCATCCAGAGGGACCTTGACATGCTTGTAAGGTGGGCTGGTGCCAACCTCATGAAGTTTAACCGTGAAAGTGCAAGGTCCTACACCTGGGTCAGAGCAATCCCAGGCACAGCTACAGGCTGGGCAGAGAAGAGATTCAGAGCAGCCCTGAGGGGAAGGACTTGGGGGTGTTGATTGACGAGAAAATGAACACGAGCCAGCTTCAGCACGTGCTCGCAGCCCAGAAACCAACTGTATTCTGGGGCTGCATCAAAAGGAGTGTGACCAGCAGGTCGAAGGAGGTGATCCTGCCCCTTTATTCTGCTCTCGTGAGACCTCACTTGGAGTATTGTGCGCAGTTCTGGTGTCCTCAACGTAAAAAGGACATGGAACTGTTGGAAGAAGTCCAGAGGAGGGCCACGAGGATGATCAGGGGACTGGGGCACCTCCCATGTGAAGACAGGCTGAGAAAGTTGGGGCTTCTCAGCCTGGAGAAGAGAAGGCTGCGTGGAGACCTCACAGCAGCCTTCCAGTTTCTGAAGGGGGGCTATAGGGATGCTGGGGAGGGACTCTTCATTAGGGACTGTAGTGATAGGACAATGGGTAATGGGTTAAAACTTAAACAGTGGAGATTTAGGTTAGATATCAGGAAGAAGTTCTTTACTTGAGAGTGGTGAGGCACTGGAATCGGTTGCCCAGGGAAGCTGTGAATGCTTCTTCTCTGATGGTGTTCAAGGCCAGGTTGGACAGAGCCTTAGGTGACATGGTTTAATGTGAAGTGTCCCTGCTCATGGGGGGGGGGGGGGGGGGTTGGAACTTGATGATCTTAAGGTCCTTTCCAACCCTAACTGTTCTATGATTCTATCAATGTCATGAAGTATTACTACTAGTACTGTTGGAGATGGCTTTTTGGCATACAAATTCATTGCGAGTGAAAAAGGGTGAAAGGGTATTAAAGTAAGTGATTGATTCCACCAGACCATGCAAAAACATTTCTGTTCTTACTTGTATGCATCCAACATCCACATCACTTTGAAGCCATTGGCATCACACAGTACAAGGAGAATCAGGACAAATGAATGTCATTAGTTTGATAAAACTTCCACTTAATGGTGGAACAAAGTTATGCCATGTGATTTATTCAAAGTCGTTGTTTAATAGTATTTACTGTGATTCTCACCGCAACATAGATTTTAGTTACCCAAGTGATTACTATAATAGTTACCCAATCAGTCTACACTCAAAATATTTTATTTCTCATTTGGTGATCTGTAGAGAAAAAGCTGTTCTATCTTGAAAGTAAAAAATGTCCTTGAGGTACAACACAAAATGTGTAAGTTATATTACCAGTATTTTTAATTTCTTCACAATCTCATTTTCTACCCAAAGGTACTGCAATTTCAAGAGCATATTTTCTCCCATACCACAACCAAGAGACAAATTTAATGCATCAACTGATGAAGATATCCAGGTACACTTTCTTTTGAATTCAAAGCTGTTAACTGTAAAGCACGATAGGCCAAAGACTAGAACTGGCATATAAAGATGAGTGTTTAATGTGGTCCATTAACAACTAATTTGCTCTCATACAAAATATGCTGGTTTAGAATTAGAAATGCTCTATCCAGTGCCGTATGTATTCGTAGCCATATTTTAAGACCAGAGTTATCACTTTCACTGAGACCAGCAATTTCTGTGTGTAGCAGTTTTGCTAGGTTGCTGTTCATACTCTGAAAATAACCCAAGTGAGGAAGCATTTTCCATTAGCATTTTCAAATATCAGTGATCATAGTGCAATGTCAGCATGTATTTTGTCTTATCGCCATGTAAAGAAACCTGTGGCACTGAATCATGAAAATCAGCAGGGTTGGCAGTCTCAACAGCTTAACTAGCTTTCCTTTTTGCTTCAGCAGAGGATTGGCTATGACAGTTTTGATGTTTTGTGCAAATTATGTCTGACCAATATTCTGTATCATCCCTCTGCAATCTATTCTAATGTTTAATTATCCTTACTGAAAAAAAACTTCAATGGCCTGTTTTACCGCACTTAAAAGTCCATTGCTTTTTATCCTTATTACTTTCCTGTTTACAGTATCTTCTTACACACTTGCATAGTGCTAACAGCAACTAACTCCTCCAGTCTTTATTCACATAATGACAACCAAGCTTCAAACCATTAATGCCTGTCTTCCAATTTGCACATTTGAACAGTAGTTTGTATAGCGCTTGGACAGGGAGGGAATGCTTTGTATCAGCTGGCTGAAGCAAAGATGCACTTTAGGTCAATAAATCAGGCTAGTTTATTGCATTTCAGTGGGCAAAACAACCCTTTTCAATGAGGCTTTCAAAAGTAACACAGATTTTCCTTCAATCCTTTACAAAGGATCCTCAAAGCTTCGCTACTAAAACGCTCTAGTTTTGGTACCTGTATACTAGCACATTGTCCTAACTTATTTGCTTACTCCTACCATCTTTGGCTTTAATAGAAGGCAGGGAGTAATGCAACTTGGATGAGTTTCCTCATATACCTTAAGTCATAAATACCCGATTTCTCATGTCATACCAGGCTACTAGAGCTTAGGCAACAAAGCAGCAGCATTCCATAGTCCATCATATAAATAAACAATAAAGTAGCAAGCTGCCCTTCAAAAATTGCAGCCTCCTCAGATTGCTTACTTCCTCACCCTCACTCAGAACTACATTTTAATACTTACTTTTCCTGTTTTCTGGAATTAAATGCATTCCAAGAACTTGCAATACACACTATGTGTGCACATGCATTTCTTTCCCCAAAGAATGGCAGAGTAGCACAAAAAACCCTGACCGCAAAGCCCTGCAGTACTTACCAATCCCACAGATTTCCTAGGCAAAATTCCCCATCAAAGTGTCCTGGTTTGATGTTCAGTAACATACCCTCACAATGATTCCAAGCTTGCTCCCTCCCACCCGTACTATCCCTCCTACTTATTTACAAATCGAATATATCTCCCATCAGTATTTTAAGCCCCAAGCACTGTATCAATACTATGATCTTGTCTAGAAACTTCTGCTCTTAGAATTCTGGGTTGACCAATGTAAAACTGTACAATAGCAAACAAACTGGTTTTTCTACAAGTCTAGTTAGTGTCTACGTATAGAAAACCCAGCCAATACTAGCCAGTCAGCCATTTTCTCTATTGTCCCACTTAAGGCTACCTCCTATTCTTCTTCCTTCCACTGGCATACAGGTAGTATTAATCATACATGTTAAACATCAAAAAAACTTAAATCATAGAATAGCTAGGGTTTGGGAGACCTTAAAGCTCATCCAGTTCCAAGCCCCCTAGCATGGGCAGGGACACCTTCAACCAGCACAGGTTGTTCAAAGCCCCATTCAACCTGGCCTTGAACACTGCCAGGGATGGGGCAGCCACAGCTTCTCTGGGCAGCCTGTGCCAGTGCCTCACCACCCTCACAGTGAAGCACTTCTTCCCAATATCTAATCTAAATCTGACCTCTTTCAGCATAAAGCCCTTCCCCTTGTCCTGTCACTACATGCCCTTATAAAAAGTCCCTCTGCAGTTTTGTGAGCCCCCTTTAGGTACTGGGAAGCTGCTATAAGGTCTCCCAGGAGCCCTCTCCAGGCTGAACAAGGCCAGCTCTCTCAGCCTGTCCTTAAACCTGCTTTCTCCTGCCTTGCAAGCATTACTGATGTATTAAACAGCAAGACAAACTGCCTTTGGTACTGGTGTTACTTCACATTTAGAAGCATTCTCCAATTGCCAAGCAACTCTGTAGCTTACTGCATATTTTTCTTCCTTTTTAGACAGAATATGTAAATTTACCAAAAAAAGGTTGTACTGAGGAAGTAACTATGGTTGAAGACATGACCTAACTTCCAAAAAAGAACACACCTGGTTTCCCCAACTGGATCCACCAACATGCAAGAAAATCATGAATGCTCCTGACAAAAAGACTTCAAACCAGACTAAAAATTAGTATAATAACCTGTCCCATGAAAATCCACCCAAAATGGAACAGAGTGAAAGATGGAGATCATCAATAAACTTTGTAATTTTCACTTCGGTCAATGCTTGGCAGCTTTTCTGCTAACACCTACTGTGAAGACTTGCTTTAACTTAGCCAAGATTGTCCTCAAAATGCAAGACAAGGCCTCTTCCAAAACACAGAAGAAACTCATTATACCTGCCTTCACTGCCATGTTTCTTCTTTCCTCTGAAGAGAACAATTCCCTACAATATGATAGGACTGGTTAGGAATGCCTCAGTAACTACTTTTACCAGCTTGTAATTTTTACTTACCCAGAGTATTTTCTGAAGCAGAAACGACTCAAAATGTGTTTCAAATTATCCTTCAACCTTCCAACCAGCAACATCAAACTGTTATAGCAATTAGATTTATGCAAAACAAAAAAGGGAATTAAATTATACTTGCCAAAGCTATTCCTATTGGGCTGCCAGTCAGCCATTTCATGTACTCAGTATTTCCTCTGCAGTATTAATAGGGACTGAACTCCAGTATGCAAGTCTTCAAAAACAAAACAAAACACCCCCCCCCCAATGTAACGGTTGTGAGAAGTAGAATAAAATCTGTGATGTTTTAGTAACTATTTTAAATGTAAAGACTTTCTCACACCAGTGTATTTGACTTCTTTCAAAGGCTTTAAGCCCCATTTCCAATGCCTTAAAACAAAAAAAAGCTTTAGAAGCCATTATTTTCTTCTGAATAGTTTCCTGTTAAAGATACCATTCAAAACAAATATATTTCAGTGTTTCAATAAGGCAAAAAACAAATGCTCATTTTTTAGAAGTCTCATTTATTGTTTGCCTCATGTTCCAACACTGCATAATCACACGTTGAAAATTGCTGCTGCATGACTAATGGAAGTCATATACCCTCCCTCCCCCCCAAAAAAAAAACTAAAAAAGGAACACCAAGTACTACATGCTGAACACACAGCATAGGTAAATTGCAGTTCTGCTTAAAAAAAAACCTGCCTGTCTCCACCTTCATTGATTTGTTTTCCCATTTCATCTGCCTAAAAACTAGGTCTGGAGTGGAAGGAGGAGGTAAGGTGAAAAAGGTCTCCCCCCTTCAGAGGCTGCTCACGCAACTGTCAGGTTTGGTTCTTCCTCACAAAACTTGGGCCACCATGTGCTCAGTGAGGATTTGTGATGCATCCTATCATTCCCTACCTTTCAAGCCACCAATACAGAAAATAAGCAATGTGTTTATAGAGACAAAAACTCTTCCCCTGCCCCCCCCAATCAATGTAATTACAACTGAAGCAGCGAGTTGTTTGGCAAGGTCAACATCAAGTAACCTGCCCACACGAAAAGGGAACTACCATTGCCAAACAGGATAAACTCACTTGCAGTAGGTACATAAGGTTTGCTATTAGCCTGTGCACAATGTAGCTGTGTAATGTACTTACATACACAGATGTTGAAGCAATGCTTGTGAAACAGCTGAAGGAGAAAGCTAAATTATGTTTGTGAGGAAGGTAATAATCAGCCAAAACCAGGTAATTAATTTAAATACTTCATCCTGAAAAGCAACCTTGGAAGGCACACAGAGAACACAAGAGACAGCTCAGCCAGCCTTCAATGACTCATAAAATAACACAGTTTCTTTTTTAAGATATAGGGAGTTCTTAAAAACTGGAAGATTAACACCTTGTTTTACTTGTCCTCCTATGATGTCTTTGCAGATTACAAAGTACAAAAGTAAGATTATATACGTATGAAGAATGGCACATAGGTATTACATTCTCTTGAATAGCAGTATAACCATTCAGTCCAATTCTGGTCTTCTGACAATCTCCAGAATTAGACACCAATGAGTACTGAAGGCTGACCTACCTTGATCTATTATTACAGCTACACAGAAGCACACCTATTACCCTGCATATACTCCATCACCTCTTGGAATGAGCCTGATTTCAGATTAAATTCACCTTCCACAGAGGTACTGACCACTGCTACAGATAAGGCCAAACAGTATCTCAAATGGCACAATCAGCATTTCAAATAGCAGCAACAACACAATACACAAGTTACTCAGGAGTCAAAGGCATTTACTAGGTTCTGGATTTTTGCATGAATAGCATGCTGCTTTCTACATGGGTTAAAAACAACAAAAAAATCCCAAATCAGTTTAAGCTGTTTTACCAAGAGCAAGAGTACTACTTATTGACTGTCCTTGAGAATTTGGGTTCTCCCAGCACTACAGTGGAAACCCCATTTTAAATCATGAAGGGATGCAAATCCATTTTTTAAGAATCATGCAAAAAGCCACTTGCAGCAGCCCATCACACACTGTCAGGCACAAAGAATGGGACTGGTTTCTATTAGTATAACCCATGCTTCCCCTTCCTCAAAGTTCTCACATTCAATTTTTTTTAAATGTTCTGTTACAGAGTGCAGTGTAACTGTACCAGAGGAACCATTATTTGAAACAAGCTTTCAAAGAAAAGAGGCTTTCCCAAAGCTTTTATATAGTAATTTCAACACAGACAGAGTATGTTTATTGTTTTACAGCAGAATGCCCCAATTTAAAAACAAAATTGCTAGATGTTCAGCTGTGCAAAATGGTACATAGTGCTTCAGTACAAGTGGAAAAGAACAAGATTTGTTAGCAAGAACTTTCAAATACAATTTTATGGTCCTAGAAGATGGGACTTGAAACTGGGGACTGGTCCACAGGCAAGCAATTTCTTCTGCCTAAACTGGACCCAGAACCAATATCACTCATTCCTGAAAAAAAAAGATCACCACACTGAATTGACAGACTCAGTGTCTTCATGCATTTTACTAAAAAAATGGATCAGTCCTCTGTGTCAGTTTCTAGCCCCATCTACAAATATCATCTGGCTCCGATAAATAAGACTCACAGGAATTTCTTGAAGGTCAATGGTCCATAATGGTAGTTATTCTACATTATCTGCTCAACTTGATTTCCAATTCTAGTTAGGCTGTTTAAATGACTTTCTTGAATTCATCATACAGCACAAGCACAAAAGCACCCCCCATGCCTCTGAGAACATTGGACCATGCACCCTTGAAGAACGCCTTTCCTCCCTCATCCCTCGCAATCTTCCTCCAGCAGTCAATTGTTCCAGAGTACATGATATCAGCTGTAGAAAAAGAGCAGAGTCATTTTTAACTCCCAAAATTGTTAAAAAAACATTAGATACAACTGCCCTGTTTCACTTCTCTAGCAACTCTGCTATGCCCCAAAGCACATTTTAAGACTGTAACACAATACTTAGTTCAGGCAATAGAAAAGCTTCCTATCTGCCTGCCTCCTTATTAAAAGCTAAGTGACAAAATAAAAATTCGAAGCCTTCTTTTCAGCAATTATACTATGCCCTGACTGCCTTGATTTAATCTGTCATTGCAAACATTGGCCCATTTCATCTTCTATAATGAAAAGTCCTCAGCCTAATTCCTGACAAATGCCAGAAGTTGAGCTCTACTGCATTTCCTCAGATCATTTAAATGTAATATAGCTTAAATCAGGTTTACAAAACAAGGAATTGTAAGTGCTGAGAGATGACTATTAGGAAAAAAGAACATGCTGTCAGTGCTGCTTAAAAAACTGCATAAATTAACAGCCTACCTCCTTTGCGCCCTGACTGCATCATCATCCTACGCCGCACCGTGTCGAAAGGGTAGGAGACCACACCAGCCACAGCAGTCACCGTCTGGGCAATCATCCAACTGATAACAATATGTGTATTTCTGGGATCTGGGAGCATGCCTGCAATAAAACCCAAGGAATTAACTTTTTGTCTTGTACATTCTCCTCTGGTTCACTCACTGCATGACAGCTACTACACAAACTGTTCTGAAACATTGTAAAGCCATACTCTGACATCACAAAACACTTGCTAAACTTTACACACACTGAAGCAATATAAAACACACTTAAGAAAATTCAGAGGATTTTCTTCTCAGTAATCAAAGTAGGTAACAATTCAGCACCAGAATTCTTTTCAGATTGACATGAGAAGTAATTAACTATTCCATACTCTTTTTAGAAAGACATATCACTAAATCACTGTCCCTATGTATTACATTAAACTGTAAGCCAGTATATCAATGACCTTTATGTCCCAATGCCAAATCTTAACAAATGCTTTGTAAAAGTACCTCTCAAACCCATTCAGCTAAACACACATGAACTGGTCCAGTATGAGTACAATAATGCTCTGAACAAAAAAAATAACTTAGTAGGCTGCTGCTACTGACACATGCTGAAATTCTGCCTTCAACACTGCACTGTCACTGCAGTTGGCACCAATATCCCCCCTCCACCTCCACATAGCTAGCAGAGACACAGGGTAACATCCAGCAACAGACACAGACACTGAAAACAGGTTTATCTGATCCCCTCTGAAACGTTACCTTTTGCTGTATCGTAGATCCCAAAGTAGGCAGCTCTATAGATGATGATGCCTTGGACAGATACATTGAACCCTTGGTACAAGCCACGCAGACCATCAGACTTGGTAATTTTGACTAGACAGTCCCCTAGACCAGAGAATTCTCTGTCTGCGCCAGCTTTTCCAACATCAGCAGCCAAACGGGTTCTTGCGAAATCCAAGGGGTAGACAAAGCAGAGAGAAGTGGCTCCAGCTGCACCACCAGAAGCCAGGTTACCAGCAAAATATCTCCAGAATTGAGTGTGCTTGTCTACACCTCCCAAGAACACCTGCTTATACTTATCCTTAAAGGCAAAGTTGAGAGCCTGAGTTGGGAAGTATCTGATGACATTGGCCAGGTTTCCCCGCCAGAAAGACAGCACTCCTTGCTCCTTTGGAATACGCACTACACAATCGATGATACCCTTGTACTGCTTATCAGCAGCAATCTGTTTACTTGCATGTTGTACCTGTAAATGAAAACAGATATTTTTACTGTATGCCTTGACAGGCAGGCACTACAGCTATGCATAGGTCTGCTTCTACTATAAATGATTCGATGTTAAGCTTGAATGCCTGACAACAGTTGTGCACAGATTAAGCCTCTG